ATGAAAGGCTGACTTTGTGCCAGTCCTGAACGGCCTGAGGGAGCCATGGGCACGGTATTCCCCTAATTTAGTTATCTAGCCCTTACCCCTCAAGGGGACCCTGAGGGGTGGACTGCTTTTATCCCCAACATAATCCAGGCTTCCCATGGCCAGTAATGAAAATATATCCCCACTGTTAGGGGCAATGAGGCTTGCCCCTTTATGAAATAGCCCCAACGAAGTAAACCCACCCGATTCCCCGACCACCAGGCTCTCCTTTGACCACGGCTCCAAACACTGCAATAACTACCCCTTCACCAATGCCTACTAGTACAGTAGCCAACAATCAACCCTCAAGGGACATTTCCACTCTCCCAGCATGCCAACTTCAACACCTCTACCCCCACAACCTCCAACATCAACCACCCCATCCTCCCTTATTAATACCTTACAGCCTTATAGCCCACCTCTCCATAACACTACCTCCATCAACACTACTCCATCTTCGTCACGCCCTCGCCCTTCTACCACCCCTATCTCTAAAACAATCTTGAATACTCTCTTCAGTGCAGCCAAATGGGACCGATTTTTCGTGATCCCTCCCACAGCTCCCTACTCTAACAACACCCTTCTCTTCCAACAATGCCTCCAAAAACAAGTAGGTAAAGTCTCTTTCCGTAGCCGACCCGACCGCTCCCGTCTTGTAACAGTAACATCCGAAAATCAAGCCATAGCACTAACAAAACTGACTGACCTATATGGTAACCCCATCCTAGCAGAACCCCATCCAACCCTCAATACTTGCACCGGAACAGTCTCAATCTCACCAACAAATTGCCCAATCTATGACAAAGAATGGTCAGATTGTGGAGAAGATCTACTTGCCTGTCTCACAGACTACGATGCAACATCAGTACAATGCTATTCCATCCCCCCCAGAGGTCATCGAAAGAAAACCCACTAACATCGCCAAAATTACCTTCCGTAGACATGACCTTCCCTTTAACGTCTACATAGGAGGAGAATCCCTCCCTGTTCGTCCATACCAACCTCCTCCACGTCAGTGCCAAAATTGTTGGCGTCTAGGACACCCAGCCAAACACTGCCGTTCCACAGCCAGATGCCCATTATGTGCACAAACCTGGCCATACCCGATCTAACTGCTCTGCACAATCACGCACATGTGCCAACTGTGGCGGCCCCCATAATGTATTTTATAGGGGCTGTCCCACCTACAAATTTGAATCTGAGGTAGCAACTCTCAGATTCAAACTCGGACTCACACTGCGTGAAGCCAGACAGGAAGCACGTCGACGTGGATTCTCTCTTACTCCTTACTCCAGTAATACTGCTCATCCTAACACTTCTCCTAAACCCACCCCTCCTACATCTAACCCCCCACTAACCCCACCTACCTTCCCCAGTCAAACTCTTTTGCCATCCTAAATCCAGAAACTCCAATCTCTACTACAGATACTCCAATCACCACTACAACCCCAACACCTTCCCCTCTCCCTCCTCGCACTCCCCGTAACAGACAGAACAAACGTTCCACCCCCTCTTCCCCTACCACACAATCACCCCCACCATCCTTTGCCCGTACTCTTGAGACACCAGTCCTCTCTTCCCCCCCTCACAAGAAATCCTTATCCCCCAAAACTCCCCAACCAACTCCACAGAAGAAACTATTGAAAATATTCAAGATTACTTAATGAAAACCGACACTCAACCTACAACTCCTGCTCCTTCCACACTCCAAGTAATTGCTGATATCCATCCTCCTCCTAACGATATCCCCCCTACACCCTACCCTCCTACCCCCTCCCAACACAGCCCATTCCCCCTGACCCCAACCCTGCCCACATTAACTCTCCCACCATCCCCTCTATCCCTTCCACTCCCTCCTGGATACACACGTGAATCCCTTATGTCACAAGTATCCCCTTCCTCAGACCCTCCATCTCCTAATACCCCTCCTGATAGAACACCAACTCCCACACCTCTCCCATCTCAAACCTCTCAGTCCTTATCCCACCCTCTAGCTACTTCCCCTTCAAATTCTCCAACACGTACTACAATCTATATCACTAAATCAACGAAAGTATAACTATCCTTCATTGGAATATTCGCGGTTTCCGCTCCCACAGACCTGACCATCATATCCTTTCCTCTATAACCCATCTATTGTATGCCTTCAAGAAACCTTTCTTATGCATACCCTTTATCTAATATAACACCCGACCTTAACCCTTTCACTCACTAATTCCTTTGCCCAGCTTAGACAACTAATCACTAACTCAACCACCCTTCACTAACATTAACTATAGTGCTACATGACCTTAGATGTCTAGCACATTTATCTTGCTTTTAACCATTAACCATTAACCATTTTAGTTGCTGCTGAGTAATCCCCATATCCTGTTCTGGACCTATTATTTAGACTCTCTATATTCCCCTAGAAGCTCTATAGCTCCACCCACCATCCCTCTTCCCACCAATCACTTTAATCAGCTAGACTATGCCTCACCCTCTACCCAAAGTGTGTGTGTGTGTGTGTCGTGTGTGTGCGTAAGAAACTATTAGTTAAGAAACTCTCAGGATGACATTCAAAGTTACTGCTCGTGAGCGAGTGCCCCATTCACAAGCAACGTCTTTTAAACCATCTGGAGCAAATCAGTTAAAGATTTCTACAAACCCATTTAGCATTCCTTGCTTTCCTCTCTCTTGGAATACTTGTCTCATCCAGTTTAATTTTGCAGAACCACGGTAGCTATTGCTGGAGAGGATTTTGTCATGGTTGCCAGTGATACACGACTGTCCAGAGGATTCAACATCCTCTCGCGTGAACAAGGCAAAGTTTTCAACTTGACTCCCAAGAACAATGTTGGCTTCTACTGGCTGTTGGGCAGATGTCCTCACTCTCAACAAAGTGTTACAAGCAAGGCTTATGGTAAGTATATAGAAAACCTTTTTTGCTGGAAGAAATGTATATGTATACAAACCTTTTTTTATTTGTTTAAATTTAATGTATATTATTATCTTGCTTTCTTAGATGTACTCTCATGAACACCATGATACGATGTCTACAACTGCTGTTGCCCAGTTGCTGTCTACAATGTTATACTGGAGAAGATTCTTCCCATATTATGTATCCAACATGCTTGTAGGATTAGATGAAAGTGGTAAGTTAAGCAACACATGCACTAGTCACTGGCATTGATTGATTGATTGTTTTTTTTTTTTTTTTATTCAGCTGGTTTTCTGCCATCCACTTGTCATTGTTAACTCATTAATATTGATAGCAAAAATGCATTCCCACTGTGTTTTCTTTTTTTATTGATTGTCTTTACACATAGATGGTTCTGCAAGTGCTGAATCACCAGGGAGTCTGTTACTAATCCTACCTAGCTCACCTTCTTAACCTTTTATAGGTTATTATTATTATTATTGTTATTATTATTATTATTATTATTATTATTATTATTATTATTATTATTTTTATTTACTGATGGTAGTATTGTTAATAACATTATTATAATCTTAACGTCAATAATAATAACACAAATTGTAATAGCTTTAGAAAAAAAAGTTTCTAAACTCAAGGAAAGGGGAAATCAGGTGTTATGGAGGCCTACTAATTGTGTCCTTGGTGGCAGACCGCTTGTGGAGCCATTTTGAGCAAACATATTTCACAGTAGGAAGCTACAGGTTACAGCACATGTTTCTGGCAGCAATGGGTTAATGAGAGAAAAATCAGCTTTTGGATTTCATCTTCAGGGCTGAAGATGTTACTAAAAGGGTATTGAAACATCTATTTTTTTTTATTTTTTTCCATAATGGGTTGTAAGTCATTGTATTAATGCAGTAGTTCATTTGGTTAATCATACTTAATGAGAAATAGTGTGCCTTGGAAAGAAAACTACCCAGCTATCTATTGCCCTTAGAGTATGAACCAGAAACTTGTGATGAAAAACCTGGTTTACAATTGAATATGTTTTTGTTAAGATTATTATAAAGGAAGTTATTGGTATTACCAAATTTTTTGCTTTGAAAACTTTGGTGGCCCGTTTCTCAAAACATGAATGCTATTAAAATTGGGGAAAAAAGTGTCATTGATTTGTTACTTACTGCATGAGGGTTTATAACTAATTCCCCTCCCCCTTTTACCAGGCAAAGGAGTTGTTTATCACTATGATCCAGTAGGCCATATGGAGAAGCTGACTTTCAGTGCTGCAGGAGCATCTGTGTCACTCATTCAGCCTTTCCTGGACAATCAAGTTGGTGCCTTTAACATGGAGGGTGTGGATCCTCCTAAAATGACCAAGGTAAGGCAGAGCGAATGGAGATCTGTGGTAGTATCTAGTTCTAGATGAGATTTTCCCTCTGTGGGATTTGTCAGGAGATGTTCACAAACATAACAGTTATTAAAATTGATGCTCAAGCAAAAAGGGGGGGGGATCCTTCTGTGCTTATTATTTTATACATTAAGTTTAAGCCATGACATAATGAAATGATTCTTTATACAAAAATAGTGTACTAACATGAAATCATTGGAACTATACTTTGATATCAGCATATATAGCAACATTTCATAAACATTGAGGAAATGTATGATTAATTATTCCCATTGTTTAAGAACTTGCTAATTTTTTTGTCATATTTCTAGTAAAATACTCGAACTCTTTTCAGGAACTTGCTCGCCAGCTGATTCACGATTCCTTTGTGTCTGCTGCTGAGCGTGACATTAATACAGGAGATGGCATCATTATTTACACCATAACTAAGGATGGAACTTCAGAAGAAAACATAAAGTTGCGCATGGATTAGATGTGTGGAGAACCTCTTTAATTTTCACCGAAACCTTCAATTGAATTTGGATTGTGTGGAATCGCATTATTTTCCAAAGCCGTAATTCCTTGTCCACTGAATGCAATGTCTATATCATTCATGTCATATAAAATGAACAGGTTTATTTCTTTCCATGGATGTAGGTTTCAGAACATTTTGAATAAAAGTTAATAAATCTTTTCTGTTTATTTAAAAATTCATATATACAAAGAAGAAAATCACAAATCACCCAGAAGGAAGGAAACCTTAGAGTAGAGGAAGATTTCCTGTAATTTTATCTACAGCTGTTACAGATGCAGGTCCTACAGCTAAGACAGTTGCTGAACCTTTTTCCACCTGAGTTCTTCCAGCATCATGAATAAGCGTAGTTTCTATTCCTGCTGCCGTTGCCAACTGTTAAAACAAAATTAATATAATAAAAAGCAACAAATGCATTTCTGCACACAAATATTTCTACTATTGCCACCAACCATAGCTCTTAGAGAGAGACAAAAAAAAAATTACTTGAAAAGAATTAATCTCACCAACTCCTATTTCTACCTCTATTATGATGAGAAATGGTACCAGTGTACCTAGCATTAATGAAACTTTCAAAGAGAAGAAAATTTACTCACCTGTGATAAATGGTTTATGTGATTTAGGTCAGTTGCTCGTACAACAACTTTTGGCTGACCAAGGTCCTCCCAAGCTTGCAAGATGTGGGGGTTTATCTTCTGCATTTTCTTATAGGATGCTAATGTGGCATGGCTACACTGGGCTGCTGTTTTCCCTGGTTTGTGATAGGAACAGAGTTAAAGAAAAAGGAATAAAATATGTACTGACTGATAATTAGAAGGCAGATTTAAGCTGTTGCATTAAGGTATATATGGTAAAAACACACAAAAGCCTATAGCTGAGCAAAATAATCTAACAAAGCCTATTTTACATTATAGTGTTATCTTGAATTGTTAGCCCCCCCAGCCCCCCCCCCCCCAAAAAAAAAAAAAAAAAAAAAGAAGTACAGTAGACTGAATATGTACTGACTCTATATAATTTTAAAGTTGTGGGAAGTAAAATAGAGGAGTGTGAGAGGAAAAAAAAACAACTAGTACAGGACAATATGTGTGGGCTTATTTCATATAGTGAGTCTTTAGTACTACACTATGCTATCTATTAATTATTGTTTAAATGATTTTGACCCCTAAAAGCTGAGTAGAATCAAGTTTGGAATATAGCATAAAAACTGAGCAGATCAACAGAGCAGGAGCTACAGAAAACAACTTTTGTCAAACTGCATAGTCTAGGATGATTTGGCAAAAAAATCTTCAGGGGCCTACAGCAGCCCTCCCAATCTTATCAAAATCTCACTAACTTTTGGGCTCCTCTCTCAACCAATTAGGCAAACATTATTTTGAAGTGTGGAGAGGGCAGGTTTACACACACATTTGTTTTCCTTGGTGAAGTTGAAAACTGCTGATCTGATTTTATGTCTCAATTCTCTTTTTCACAGGTTCTATATCCTACAATGAATATATAATTGACAATTCTCCCCTGTGACACTGAAGATTCAAAGCATTTGAAGAAGAAGAAGGGAAGGAGAGGAGAGGAGAGGAAAATCCTAGAATCAGAATGGAGAAGAGGAGGATAAGAGAAAAAAGGAAAGGAAAGGAAGAATGTGTGAGTGAGACCGACAGACAAGACACAAAGGACTGATGTGAAACAAGAGTATATAATTAAGATATATATATGTAAGAATATATAATTGACAATTCTCCCCTGTGACACTGAAGATTCAAAGCATTTGAAGAAGAAGAAGAAGAAGAAGAAGAAGAGAGAGAGAGGGAAAGGAAAGGGAAAAGGAAAAAGAAAAGGAAAGGAAAGGAAAATCCTAGAATCAGAATGGAGAAGAGGAGGATAAGAGAAAAAAGGAAAGGAAAGGAAGAATGTGTGAGTGAGACCGACAGACAAGACACAAAGGACTGATGTGAAACAAGAGTATATAATTAAGATATATATATGTAAGAATATATAATTGACAATTCTCCCCTGTGACACTGAAGATTCAAAGCATTTGAAGAAGAAGAAGAAGAAGAAGAAGAAGAGAGAGAGAGGGAAAGGAAAGGGAAAAGGAAAAAGAAAAGGAAAGGAAAGGAAAATCCTAGAATCAGAATGGAGAAGAGGAGGATAAGAGAAAAAAGGAAAGGAAAGGAAGAATGTGTGAGTGAGACCGACAGACAAGACACAAAGGACTGATGTGAAATAAGAGTTAATACTCAGAAACAGAGAACTAGGACAGACTTAGAGAAAAGGGAAAATGGTTAAGTAAATGAAATGAAACCTTTCTGAACTCTCTCTGTACCTTTTCCCATTTTCAAATCATGCCGAACAACAAGCACCAACTTGCTGGGTCCGGTAACAATGAGGTTCTTCACTCGAGTCGCAGTATTACTCATCTTTCTTCCAATGTAGAGCCCTGCTAAAAAACTAGTCACCATAAGACTAATTTTTTGAATGTTAAAGTATTTTACAGTTGAATGCTCTCCATTCAGGTCCTCCATGGTCTTTCTTGTATTTTTGCACAATATTTCAGTCAATAACACTCATGTCGGAAAGACAAACTATTTTGATTTATTCTTGTTATATTCTGAAATGCACTGCTGGAAATCCTTCACTTCTGTCTGACATTTCCTCCAGTCCTTGTTGTCAGCCATACAAAACTGGAAAGAGAAAGACTGCAAATAAAACAAAAATTACACACAAAATGTAAATGAAACCATTACAGACTTGGCATTGGCATCACTGACATTAAGTCACCTAGAAGCCAACTTAGGAAATGACTGACTCCCAATTACAATAAAAGAAATCATTCTCTGATAAATCAAGGGAATGAAATAAAAAAGAAATTTGCAAAATTAAGGATGTGTGGGGGAAAAAAGAATAGAAAGAAAGAAAGAAAGAAAGAAAAAGGTGGAAAGCAAATACATTAAAAATATTATATACCTAATTCAGGGGAATAATTAACCCATTGCCGCCGGGGAAAATGAACAAAAAATGGGGGAAATGCAGTACTCATTTTTTATATTTTTGTGAAATATCTCTGTCCATAGATGGTTCTGCTAGTCCTGATTTCACCTTTCCTTGAATTGGCGGGGAAAAACGTATTTTTACTGGTGCTATAAATATAGATGGTATTATTTTTAACAGCAAATTAGGATAACGTTAAATATCTTCGTAAATCGATGAAAAGGGTGAACGGGTGAGACAGGCAGTACTCGTAATTGGCTCATTGGGTACTTAGTACAAGTGTAGCCATCTATGTGTAAAAACAATCGAACAAGTCGACTCACAGTGGGCATGGCATGTACATACATGCCATCCCCGGCGGCAATGGGTTAACTTACTAAAAATATAAATATGGAACAGCTTAAATTTGGAAATGATAAATAAGTCGTAGTGGAATACAAAATGTCATGAAATAATAAACGAGAGAAACAGCACACAACAACAAAACAAAACAAACACACAAACACACACACACACAAAAAGTACATAATAATGATTCATATATATATATATATATATATATATATATATATATATATATATATATATATATATATGTAATTATACATATAATTATGTATATATATAAATAAATATCTATATAATTATGTATATATACATATATATATATATATATATATATATATATATATATATATATATATATATATATAAACACATACAATTATTATACATATATATACACACACACACACACACACACACACATATATATATATATAGTAGCTGTCGGTCGCGAAGCGACAAAGACCGCCTTCATAGGTTACTTCACAGCTGATCTCCATTTAGCTCGCTGGTATGCTAGTGTTGATGTCTTGATGTTTATTTCCCTCTTTTTGAGGTTCCGCTTGATAGTATACTTGTAGCGGAGTCGTGGGCGACCTATCTTTCTTTCACCCACTGGGAGCTGTGAGAAGAGTAATTGTCTGGGTAACCTGTCAGTGGGCATCCTGATGATGTGACCAGTCCATCGCAGGTTCTTTCTGATGAGCAGGTCCTCCATAGATGGCAGGTCTGCTCGATGGAGAATCTCTTTGTTGGTCACTCTGTCTTGCCAATTACTTCTCATGATCTGTTGTAGGTGTCTCATCATGAATGTATGAAGCTTCTTGACTTGGCTTCTATAAAGTGTCCAGCTTTCTGCACCATATAGAAGGGTCGATATTACAATAGCCCTGTAAATTTTGCATTTGACTCTTATGGAGACATGATGGTTGTTCCAGAGACGGGTTCTTAGTCTCCCAAAAGCACTGCTTGCCTTGGCCATTCATTTTGTACTCTCTTGGTCTATATGTGCATCATCTGATATAGTGCTGCCAAGATAGGTAAAGTCAGCCACTCTGTTCAGAGCCGTTCCATCCACCAAGATATCCTCTTCAACTATATGTGTTGAGCTGGGTTGGAATAGTACTTCAGTCTTCTTTATGTTAATTTGTAGTCCAAATCTCTTTGATGCAGATGAAAATGCATCTAGTACCCGCTGCATTTGCTCTGGTGTATGAGCAACTAGTGCGCTGTCATCCACAAAGAGAAGTTCTCTTGCGAGGATCTGTGTTGTCTTTGTCTTTGCTTTGAAGTGTGATACATTGAAGAGGTTTGCGTCCTGTCGACATTATATGTATACACCTTCCTCGAGGTCAGCAAAGGCATCCTCCAACACTGCTGAGAGAAAGATCGAAAATAGTGTTGGAGCCAGCACACATCCTAGTTTCACTCCATTGCTTACAGGAAAGCTGTCAGATGTCTCACCAGCTTCTTTGACCTTGGCAGTCATACCCGTGTGCAGTGACTTTATCATTTTTGTGAACTTCTCAGGGCATCCATACTTCTTGAGGAGCTGCCATAACCCAGTCCTTCCAACAGTGTCGAATGCTTTGGTGAAATTGACAAAGACAACATAGAGAGGTCTGTTGTGTTCTATACACTTTTCCTGCAGTTGGCGGAGGCAGAAGATCATGTCTACAGTGCTTCGGTTGCTGCGGAATCCACATTGTGACTCCGGCACAACTTCTGGTGTTATGTGGGCATTTAGTCTATTGAGGAGTATTCTCGCGAATGCTTTCCCAGCAATCGATAGTAGTGAGATCCCTCTGTAGTTACCACAGAGAGT